GATGGACTATTTATATCCAGGTCACTGAACCTGTTCTGGTCACACAAAAAAGTCACCAGTAAATGTTAATTTAAGATATATATATTTTAATTATCCTTCAATATAGCCTTCTAGACGCAGTAAGTGCTACACAAACTACTTTTACGAGTATGATGAACAGACATTTTCGTAACTATGTACAACGAACCGCTACTAAAATAAATAATTTAAAAATAAATTACATATTTGCTATTAAAATAATTGTCCAAACAGGATCACAATATGAAATACACTATCAGCTTTAATGTCGTCCAATTTAATGAAAATGCTAAGTAATAAAACATAAAAAAAAGACATGTCGTTGGCTGTCTGGTGAGTTTTCGTGTGACCAGTTTTTGTATGGTTTATCCAGTGTGGAGCAATCTTGACCATACACAATGTTATTTAAATATTTGACACGTGTGCACCGATTACAGTCTGATATGATCTTATGTCGTACAAGAACATATCTGACTACTATAATATGCTTACTTTCTATTGCGAACTAATGATAGACTAAACATAATGGACCTTCATGATTATTTAAAAAAAAAAACTTGTTCTACTACCTATATCGTTACTCATTTTATAAATGTTAAAGTAAGTCTGTTTGTTATTTTTAACCGCCCTTATAGTTTAACTATTTGTTCAAAATGAATCTTTTTAGATACATTGATAGATTCAATCGAGGGAGACTTTGTACAAAAGTCGATTGCTTGGCTACCTTTGTCCCATTCATGTTTCAACCGTTTCGGTTTGAAGGGTGGGATATGTCGTGAATTACGCGCGCGTTGCCGACCCTGAAGAAATCTCTTTACCTCTCTTTTGAAGAACCCCATGCTGTAGTCTCTTGGGAAAACCTCGGCAGGGAGCTCATCCCATAACCTGAGTGTTCGTGGGAGGAAACATCGTCATCTTGTTTATCTCTTATACATATATGATATGATTTTATTCATATTACATATAAATTTGGCTTTTGGTTATACGATAGGTCATCAACTATTAACAAATGGTATCAACATCATTACCGTCATGTCGACCGCTAATTGTCCACTGCTGAACATAAACCCCCCATAAGAGGGGTTTTCTCCAATTGGCTTAGCTTGGCAAAGAGGTTGGCAACTGCTGATAGCTGCGATAACATACTAAGAGGGACGCTGCTGTTCATACCTCAGCCATTAAATTAACTTAGTTGATCCTTACGATAGTTTTGTTTTGCCTAATCAAATTTGCTTGGATTAAAAGCGCCAAATCAAGGGTACAAGCAGGATTAGATCGACAAAAAAACTACAGCTTCCGTCTTCATAAAATTAATAATAAACTAAGGTCGGACTAAACACTCTCAATTGCAAAAAAGAATGATTAAAATCGGATCAAAATTAGTGATGTGATCGCATAACATACACAGAATACAAACCAATTGAGAGCCTCCAATTTTGGAATAGTGAAATAATTTAAACATTTTAGGAAAATTTACTTTGTCTAATAACTTCTTCAATAAAGAGAGTACGTTTTGCAATGTAATTTGCATAGTTTACAATTCTTCTAATGAAATTATTTCGCAATTACAGATTGAATAGTGGGTTACACTTATCCTGTTCCAGCGGCCGTCTGCTGGATACGGCTAAACTGTTCGATCCGGAATGGAATGGTATCCGTTTGATTAAAATGTAAAGCAGTTGTTTGTGAGAAATCATTTAAAATACCAACGCATAGAATAGCAGAGAAAGCGCTTTTTCACCGGAAGATCTGAGTAGATTGCTTATCAGAGGTTAGTGTGAACAAAAATAGGTCTATTTATTTATTTTTAAACAGTTTAGAATGGCAAAAATGCTGAAGGTCCATGGGCATCATAAAGTTATATATAATAATGCCCATTATATTATATCAATATAATGTATTACTTCTCTCATATGTTGCATTCCCTAAAGACTAGAAAGCTATACTTTCATATCCTATAATTTCGCTGGAATGCTTTATATTATTTTAACTAAAACAAAACCATGAAATCACAACTGCTTTGTAACATAATCATGAAAGAACATAGAAGCCAAATAAACAAATTTTAAACAATCTCTCTCTCTCTCTCTATCTCTATATTTATTAATACTTTATATTAATATTTTTTGATAAATTATATACTATGTTGTAACGACATGTACTACTTATTTATTTACATTTTATTTCACCGATTAAAAATAACAAGTACAGTATATTTTAATAAGAAGTGATACAAAAGGCGGCCTTATCGCTTAGCAGTCTCTTTCAGACAACCTTGTCTGTTAGAGATTGTGTAAAATCCCTATAAAAATTTATTTAGAATCATTCAAAATTTTTACAACAGGGATATTAACAATCTCCGAAAGTACTTCGTTTTATTGAAATATTCACTAATAAAATCGAGTATTTCGCAGATAATGTTCGTATTTACATGTTTTACTATTGAACGGATATTATTAAAGTTTTCACTAATAAAACACAGTACTTCTTAAACAAGCTTTGTCTATACTTGATTTATGTAGAGTGTGATTTGCATTAATTTCGAATAAGAGAAAATGGGAACAAAATAAGTGTAATACTTTACAATACACTCAATGCATAAAGCATATTTTAATTGGAAATTTTTAGATACAAATTTTCAAATGTAATTTCCACAAAATATTTTTATCAGGGAGCAAGGCTCCCTGGATATGGGGTTATTTTCATGGTCTAATAGATAATTCGGCTCTGAATATACTAATATAAGGAAAACTCAAAACAAAGTCCAGTTCTCTATCCAAAACGTTACTAACAATATCCTTCTTGTCTTTGAAAAAAAAAAACTATTTCAATACTGAAATGTTACTATAAAAAGTTTTCCATTTAATTACTATTTGCCATGACAAAATTATTAGAATACCAATCACAAAAATTAACTATATTAATGAAAAAATAACCATTAAAATAACTTCAGAATTAAAAAAATTAATCACTTGAACCTCATCTTTTTTAACTTGGTAATAAAAGTAATACAGGTACAAAATATCAAGAAGGTCAACGCGACTCAAATAAACAAGTGCACTCGCCTATCGGTTGTGTTATTATTTAATAGTTTAATGAGCGACTGATACCGGTTTCGAGCAATCAGGTGTCAGAACTAGTAACGTGCCGCCCCAGTCACTGATACTGTAATAGTGACATCATAGCTTAATACTGTTTCAGTTTGTGCGATTAATTAACAGATTTCCTATCGTTGTAAATGCACCTATTTATAAAACATAGACAAATTATAGGATAGCACGCGATGAATTATGGGAAAGATTATTTTATCAGATCATATCACATCATAGTATATTTTTTATATTAATGATGCTGTTTATGTCTATATTTGTTTTTATTAGGAAAACAAACGAGCTGATAGTACACCTAATAGGAATCAGCTAGGGGGAACAGGATTGTTAGTAATGGAGACTGAGAATCCCATTGTTAGCAATATACCCAACCAGGTCAATCTCCTCGCGGTTCTTCCTGGAAACTATCATGGTTAATTCCTGATGAATTCATAATAATGGGCTAACTGGCCTGTTTTCATGCTCATCTATCACCCGTCATTGGTGCTCCGCCAGCGTATCTCGTTAGCGCAGGCGGGATTACCATACCATTTTCACCCATCAAAAAGAAATATAGGAATTAGCTACTGTCGCTCATGAATACCTGCAACACGAAAGTAATAAACGTCGCATGTAGCGACGTTTACTACTTTACAAGCCACCAGCTTGCTTTTCAATACTTATTAAATAAGAATAACGGTTTTAGGCTATCAGGTGTCAGAACTAGTAACGTGTCGCTCCAATCACTAGCACTGTAATAGTGGCATCATAGATCGATACCGTTTCAGTTTGTTGCAATAATTAACAGAACTCCTATCATTTTGTTCCTATTTATAAAACATAGACAAATTATGCGACAGCATACGATAAATTATGGGGGAAATTATTTTATTATTTTAATATATACTAAGAAAGAAGTGGTACACTGTCCTATCAGCGACATTACTGTTCAATATTTTAATAAATTACCGATACCAGTTTTAAGCTATCAGGTATCAGAACTAGTAATGTGTCGCCCCAGTCACTGATACTGTAATAGTGACATCATAGCTCGATACCGTTTCAGTTTATTGGATTAATTAACAGAACTCCTATAATTTTGTTCCTATTTATAAAACATAGACAAATTATGCGATAGCATGCGATAAATTATGGGAAAAAATATTTCATTATTTTAATATATACTAAGAAAGAAGTGATATACTGTCCTATCACCGACATTACTGTTCAATAGTTTAATGAATTACTGATACCGGTTTTAAGCTATCAGGTGTCAGAACTAGTAAGGTGTCGCCCCAGTCACTGATACTGTAATAGTGACATCATAGCTCGATACCGTTTCATTTTGTGGGATTAATTATCAGATTTTTTCATTGTATATACATATAACTATTTATAAAACATAACGTAGACAAATTATAAGTTAGCACGCGATTAATTATGGGGAAGATTTATATTCTGTCTCTCTCATATTTCTGCCACTAAGCAGCTGTGCTTGGATAGTTGTATTTCAGTTTGAAGTATGAGTATAGAGAAATAACCATCTTGTTTCTTAAGTATAGCCTAGCGTAAAGCGTACTAAGGCGTTACTTTATTCTTGATATTAACGGTGCTCTTCATGTCAATAAACGACGGTTACCATTTACCACCAGATGGTATCAGGATTATCAAATTGCCTGTCGCATATAAAAATCAGAGATATTTGCCTGTCAGCTGTGTTGTTATTTAATAATTAAATGAGTTACTAATACCGGTTTTATACCGATACTTCATACGGTTTACAATTGACCAAAATATCGCGTGATATTCACACCAAAAAAAAATTTTTTTTAATCTTTCCATTAGTAAAAATGATGCTTAATGTATATCATTTTGAATAAATGAAAAACTTACCTTTAGCCTTCAGCTCATGATATCATGAAATTTTTCGATTATTCTCTCCGGAATAATCTGTGGACAAAATAGAAAATAGTTCTATTATTCCTGTTAATATAATGTATGCGTAAATTTATAAAGATTTATGAATAGATCTTTTTAACATTTTCACACAAAAATTACTAAATAGATTTGGATGTAATTTGACACACGGGTAGGTTTTTTTATGCAAGTTAGAACGCCAAACAAGCTAACGGCTCACATAATGGAAAGTGGTAACCGTCGCCTATAGACATGAACAGTACCATGTGCATAATAGAGTATATTGTTTCGCCCTAGATGCAACATATGGGGGTCCATATGTTATCACTCCTAAGGTGATATACCTCTGTACCTTGGCGTTTCCCTTCACTGGCATTCGTTGTCATATATCGGCCTAATAGGTTATATTCTAACTTAAAACAAAGGATAGTTTATTTACTGATTCATGCGGGCAAAGCCGAGCATACAGCTAATTAAGTCTAAATATAAATAAATCAATAAAATGAAGCGAACGAATGCAAAATAATACATGAGGGGAACCATGGATCGTGGTGAATCAAGGTAGTGTTCAAGTTATTAGAATAGAACTAACTACCATCAATCAAGTTATCAGTTTGTATGTATATTTTGCTCTTTTGAAGGCAAAGCAATAAACCAAATTGTGACCATTTTGTGTTAGTAGCACACGCATAAAAAAAGGAAATTGTTGTTTTATAATATATATATATATATATAATATTTTGCTTTTTGTTTCTTTTTTTGTTTTTCATTCTTTTATCTCTTTTACTGTGTATTATGTATATGTTTGTATTGTAATTTGTGTGCTGTAAGTAATGCAAATGAATTGCCAGTCTATCTAATTCGAGATTTAAATAAAAAAAAAAACAAATAGAATATAACTCATGGGAATTTAATATTATAAATGTGAAAGGGAGTTCGTTTGTATATAACAAATTAACTCCCTGTAAACTTAATAACTTAACAGCATAACAAATCACTATGAAATTTAGTTGTAAGGAGTCAGTGTATGCAGTTGGCTACTGCCATTTTGTTCACGCATATTTTGCGACACTTGTTTCACCTCTAAACGAGGCATATTCAGGTAAATATATAGATAAAAAAAAATATAGATTATTATTATAAAGGGGAAAGATTTGATTGTTTGTTCGTAAAGGATAAGCTTAAAAATTACTCTAAATATTTTTCAAAAATTCTTTCATTTATAAAAAACTACAGTATCAGAGTGTTACAGCGACTGGAACATTAGTATAATATAAAATTATACGGGGGAAGAGATTGTAAGTAATGCAAACTGCAAGTCCCATTGCTAGCAATGGGATGTCAAATTGACCTTCACACGGTCCCCCCTGGACGCCATCGTGCTGTATTCCAATTACATTCAGCATGACAGGATAACTGACCTGATTTCATTGTCACTTATCATCCCTCATTGGTGTTCCGCCAGTGTATACCGTTAGCGGGGTTAACATTTCATTATCATCCATTATATCATATATGTATATATGTATATCTGTATATATATATATATATATATATATATATATATATATATATATATATATATATATATATATAATTATTACTCGCGAATCGAACCCCTAACCATCGGAAGGTGACGCGTGTGTCAAACTGCTATACCATAAGGGTCATTATTATATAAAGATCTGACATACAACAAGTCACGAGAATCCTAGCAACCTAAACCATAACAAGTCCATTCACTATACCATTTGAACCATGAATAATGTATGAAAATTGTTACACTGTTGTATTATTAACGAGCGAATTCATTAAATGTAGTTAAGCACTTATCGCGAACTAATTTGAAAGTTTTACCATAATTTTTTTTTTGTTTTTTACTAATTTGTATGGAATATGAAAGATCGAACTAATAACTTTTCTTTGTGACGTGTTACTAAATCTGGCCATATGGTCCCGGCATAGGATAGGCCACCCCTTCCTTTCCTGTAGGTGTGTAAGAGGCGACTAAGGGAGAGCGAGGGGATGGACAGCAGCATCCCTCTTAAAATATCTGTAAAGCCTAACTGCGGTTGCCAATCCGCCTGCCAAGCTTGACAAGTACTGGCAAAACTCCTTATAGGCCTAAATTAAAAACTGATATGATGATGATGATGTGACTTTCTTTTAGGGTTGAGCTGTAAATTTGTTCATCAGAGGGAGACTTTGTACAAAAGAGGATTGCTTGGGTACCTCTGTCCCATTCGTGTTTCTACCGTGAAGCAGTTGTGTTTGCATGGCTGTGTTTCGGTTTGAAGGGTGCGATATGGCGTGAATTTACAGGGTACAGAAGAATAACATCTGAATCCTCAGGAATGGCAACGCATTGGGGGTATCATGGGCGAAACAGTATACTCTGTTATGTCCATGATACTGCTCATGTCTATAGCCGACGGTTACCAATTTCCATCAGGTGGGACGTCAGCTTGTTTGCCATTCTAAGTTGTATAAAATAAAATAAACTACCAACGGGGTAGTATATATTAAATAAATTTTAACACTTTATTGCACCAATATTACATTATTAGGATTTGTTGAACAATTTTCGATAAGTATAGTGTAGTACAAAAGGCGATCTTATTGCTAAGCAATCTCTTCCAGACAACTTTTGGGTAGAAAGAATTAAAGAATAAATAGGTAGGTGGCGTATAAAAATAGATCTGTTAAAATAATAATTCGATAGTAAAATGATAACCAGGTATAGTGCTTAGCTCTGAATATGTAGAATAAGATGTTGGGGACATCTTATTCTATATATTATGGGAACTAAAAGCGGTAGTATTAACAGGATGTAATGGAAATCTTGGTGGGACAAAATTACCTATAAAAAGCTACAGGAATGTTAGGACGAAACTATGATATGGCAATAAATGCCACCAGTGTATAAGCATTCCTCTGATGTGGGGCATCAGCCGTATCAGTACTGGTAGAATGCCGAAGAAGGGACTTCTAGAAGGGCTTCTAGCCAGCGAATAGAGGGCGATATATTGGAATCTGAACTTCGGTAGAGAAAGCAAGGTGAGAAACTACTGTACTGTAATCCCATTAATAGTAACTAATGGAATGGAATTAGTTGTTACAACAAGAGACAACTCTTGAAAAACTCCTGAAAATGAGAAGAAGAATGTGACTTGCAAGCCTCACTTAATTTTTTTTTAATGGATGATTGTAGAATTGTAACCGCCTGCGCTATCGAGGACTGATAAGTGAGAACGAAAATATGTCAATTCCCCATCACGTCGACCTGACAGAATAACTAGTAATATACCCTATCAGGTCGAGCTCCACGCGGTTCCACCTGAAAACCATAGTCGTTAATTCTTACAGAATTCGTCACGATGGTCTAACCGATCTGCTTTCATCCTCATTTATCATCTATCACTGGTATTCCGCCAGCGTATATCATGGGTTACCATTCCATTATCATCCATAAAAAAAAACCTGACAAAGTATATTATTAGCATAGGGGTTGCTAGTACCCTTTACTAACAATCCCCAGCAAAAATTGTTATAAGAACATTTTATAAAAAAAAAAGTGTCTTTAAAAATGGTAAGACACGTTAAATTAAAAAAATTTGAATTTAGAACGTGGAATATTTTTTTTTGCTTCACAAACAAAGACACCTACAATACATAATAATTAATAAGCTAAAATTAATATGAAACTCGAAATTCAAAAGTCACACAAAATTATCACAAAAATCTCTTTTTTGGAGGCAATTTAAAAAACAAATGGCATAATTTTGAGAATTTTCACTTTGTGTTGTATACCCGTTAAATGACTTGAATGACATGGTCTTTTGGACAGTGTTGTTCAAACTGGTAATATTTTAGGCCGAGTCCATTGACAACGGAAACGGTGATTAAACAAATACGAGTATATATAATGTAGGTAAATCGTTGGCTGTATGCAAAAAAAAAACAGTTGTATGCAATAAACTGTGGCAATATCCTGCACGGTGTCGTTAGTCCCCGAGTGTCCTACACTCGTTAGGACGTAACCTAAATACCCGTTTGTACGGTCAGCAGAGAAATCTAATCTTAATATTTATATATAATAAAATAGCATTTACATATCTGTAACTTTGTTCGCATGATCGGGATTTTAAAAAGTAGATACATATATCGTTTTCTATTAATACGCTTCTATCAAATTTTTACAATTACAGTGAGTTAAACCAAGACGTAACAAACAAACAGTAACTTTCACATTTATAATATAAGTAAGAATTTATAACCAAACTAATATACTACATATATAATAATAAAAGACATGTAATATTTTTTTTAATTGTTTTGTCATCTACTATCAAGTAATGTTGTGCCTATTAGACAATAGATGGCGTAAACAATAAAAGAATGGAAAATGTTGTATTAAATAATATAATTTTAATGCAAAATAAGTACACGCAAATTAATTCACGGGAACGGCTAGTAAACAATGGTAAACAATTAAAATAATAAGCATAATTTATTCAAGAGGAAAATTATACACGATACACACTAAGATATATGTTTGATTAATTGTTAAAAGAATTCTAACGACTATGCTCGAAAAATCCAGTGCTAATATTTTCAAGTTATAATGTAAGGTTTAACTATTAAATGTTCCTTCTTATCAAATTGCAATGCTCTAGAAGACTCCTTTACATTTATTTATTACTATTAATTACCAAGTCAGAAAGTTAAATAGTTTCCCAATTCGTCTCTCACTAAAACTTACAGCATATCTACATTTGACTGATTATATAAAAGTATTAAATTATTAATAGGTACCTATTGATGTAAATTAAATTATCCATACAATTAATAATGCGTTTAATCAATTTTGACTCTAACGAATAATTAGGTTTTATAAATATAATATATAAACTCTCGTTATAACTATTATTTAGAGGAATCTAAACTATTATCACTATATAACTTTAAACGTAACACTACCCACACTACGGTGAGCATCTTAAAATTAAACATGGCAGTGCGTGAATCTACTT